AAGGAAATTATGCGGAAGCTTTACAGAATTATTATGAGGCTATGCGACTGGAAATTGATCCCTATGATCGAAGTTATATACTTTATAACATAGGTCTTATCCACACAAGTAACGGAGAACATACAAAAGCTTTGGAATACTATTTTCGGGCACTCGAACGAAACCCTTTCTTACCTCAAGCTTGCAAAAACTTATGTTTCATAATTTTAGAATCAATTCTAAATTGTATACAAATTATGATAATGTATATTATTCCTCGAATTGCTCCTTGAGAGGTATAAAGGATTAAATACCTTTAAGTAAGAAATAAAGTTTTTGATTGTGATATGAATCACGGAAGGGACCCCTTAACTATTACTATTAAGGGGTCGATAGAACGAATCGCACTTTTACCACTAAACTATACCCGCTACAATACTATTATTGTATATAAAAAGATCTTTTGTCAATATCAATACAGGAAGGGGAATCAGTCCTAATTATGAAATAGGTGCAGAATTTTATGATAAATACAGTGTTCACATGTTTCGTAAAGGGCCCCCTAATGAAATTTAGAAAAGGGGGCGAATCTCATTTTTGGATTTTGTTGAAGGTATTTTGACAGATAGATCTCGACAAAATTACTAAACGAAATTCATAAGACAAAAATGCATTGTGCAAGAATCCATAGTTCTATTTCTTTTTTTAGATACGTTAACTGATTAATTCGTATGATATACGATCAAAAAGTTATTTTTATTTTGGTTTGATCGTATTAAAATGTTTTCCTTAATTACAAGTTTCTTTCAAATCTGATACAGAAAAATAAATCATTGTGATTCATGGGAAAAAAGAGCCGTGCCAGTACCTAGCTGGACTCTGGTTGGATAAAAAAACAAACTAAAAAAAAAAGAAAAGAAAAAATTTTATATTGCGTATATATAGAATATAACTTTAGTATAGGTATAAGAAAATATAACTAATATTTATGAGTTAATATAGAATTATGAATAGTAATTAAATAAAATGATAATTAAATAGAAAAAAGATAGATAGATAAGATATATCAAATGACGATCAATATCAAATAAGATATATAGAAGGCTTTTTTGAGCCCTACTTTTTGTTCTTTTTGTTTATCCGAGGTATCATAAGCATAATAATTCAATTTTTTGAATTGGGGAGAGATGGCTGAGTGGACTAAAGCGTCGGATTGCTAATCCGTTGTACGAATTTTTGTACCGAGGGTTCGAATCCCTCTCTTTCCGTTTATTGATGATTTGGCATTTTTTTCTTTTGAACTTCTGGAATTTCTTTTTTTTTTATTCCCTGTTTGTTTCATTTTTTACTAGTTAAAGATGTAAAATAGATAGAAAAACGAAAAATATTTAAAAATCCAGCATAAGTACGGAAAAGAACAAAGATTTTCTTATTCTTCACGTTCAGGATTACGTCCTGGATCATTAGATAGGAATCCGAAGATGAAAAGAGAAACAAAGAATATCACTATTGTGTAAACAAATAGTTTTAGAGTAAGCATTAAAAAATCTCCAAGATAATAAAAAAAAAAAACAACAGAGAAAGAGAATAGATTCTCTTGTATTTCATATTATGTTTCCTTTGATACTCAGTTTATAAGAAATGAAGTTATTTCAAAAAAACTAAAAAAATTGATTTGTAGTAAGAGTTGAGCCTTTGTTTTACCATTACCAACAATTCAATTTTCTTTCATATCCACAAGATCCACGTATTGGTGGTAGACTCAAATCGAATAATAGAATAATATAATTTTTATTTTTGAATGGAAAAAAAGGAAATGATGAGATGATCCATATTTTTATTGTCTATCCAACAATTTCAAGATTTATAATCACGGATTCACACTGTAAGACTTATCTTATTTTTAAAATGTTAAAATTTGAGTTTTCTAATAAATTCTGACTTTTTTTTTTGACATTATTCAAATTAAAGATCTTATCGAAAACTTACAGCAGCTTGCCAAACAAAAGCTAAGAGAAAAAAGAGTAAGGGTATTACTGGCATAAAATCTACAATTGGATTCAAAAAAGCGTAAGCTTCTGGTAATTTCCCCAAGAAAAAACTACTTGAATAAAGGGCAGAGTGAATACAAATACAGACCGAGCTAAAGATATTAAGCATAACAAAAATGTTTTTCTTTAAGAAAATGAATTGTCTTTTTTCTTTTGTTTTTAATTCTAATTTTGATTGTATTTTTTTTATTATTATATAGATGATTTATTCTATATATGATATGATTTATTATATATATGTTATGATTTATTATATAATTTATTATTATTATTATCCATTTTTGTATTATACTTTTATATTAACAATGAAATATAAAATCAAAATTTTTTGATTTTATTTAGATAGAATAGAGAATATATAGAATAGAAAATGAATAATTTGAAAATAAAAAAGGATAGAATATAAAATATTGAATTCCTATTTATAGATATGAAGATTACTAAATCAGTAATAAAACGAAAAAAAAAGATGAATCAACTAAGATCAGACCCCCACTTTTTTTGATTTGAACTGAATAAGTTCAAACAATATCTTAATTGAATTCTATGGAATGATCAATAAATTTCGTTTAATTCGATATCGATACATATCAAAATTCTAGCAACAATTTATTCTATAGAATAAATTTCGAAGTGTAATTGACGAACAACTCATAATACTATTTATTAATGTCGAATCAAAATGGGGCGTGGCCAAGCGGTAAGGCAGCGGGTTTTGGTCCCGTTATTCGGAGGTTCGAATCCTTCCGTCCCAGATCATATCTATTCAAGATATATACCTATTTCAATACAAATTGTATATCCGAATAAAGATTCCTTTTTTTTTTTTAGAAATTGATTTTTTTATATTTAATTTACAAACCATGAAAATAGAATATTGACTTAATTTCGACTTCTTGACTTTAGAAATAAAATTGTATAGTCAGAAAACCTAAAACCTAGAAGTGAAAAGTATATATTATTATCTATTGATTGAGTCAATGACTATGCACGATTTCAAAATGGAATCAATTACATACCAGATTGAAACTAAAAAATAATGTTATGGTAAAACCTCGTTTGAAACGATGTAGTAAAAAGCAGCGTGGGACTTGAAAAACGTGACTATATTAGCTGCGGAGTCTTACATGCCCTATTTTCTTTATACTATCTAGTTTCTTGTATCTAGAAATAGGGATCCTCGATTTTTCGATTTGAGTGATCTATTTATTCCAAAATTCGGTGCTCAACCTACCTCATATTAGGAAAAAGTCTAGAAATAAACTAATTTGGTGCATAAATACCGTAGACCAAATGAGCCTTTTTACTTCTTTGTTTTTATTCTATTCATTCATTTTTATATTAGAAATAGTTATTGATTTGATATTCAAATATAAATGATACATTTGTTCAATACTTCTTCGCTCATTATTATTATAAGTTATTAATCCTCGCAAATCTATTTCTATACTTAAGTCGATAAAAAATGATCATCGAATGACTATTCATCTATTGTATTTTCATGAAATACAGGAAAACATATTTATGGAAAGAAAGTGGTTCAATTCAATGCTGTTTAATAGGGATTTAGAATATAGGTGTGGTTTAAGTAAATCAATAGATAGTTTTGATCCTATTGAAGATAGTTTTGATCCTATTGAAAATAACGGTGTAAATGAAGACCCATCTATTTTAACTGATGACCCATCTATTTTAACTGATGACCCATCTATTTTAACTGATATGGATAATGACATTCATAGTTGGATTGAGAGTTATCTTCGTTATAAAATCTATATTTCTAGTTACATTTTAGATGATAGTGACAACTACAATGCCAATATCAGTGACTTGAATAGTTACATTTTAGATGATAGTGACAACTACAATGCCAATATCAGTGACTTGAATAGTTACATTTTAGATGATACAAATGATAGTGATTTGTATGAAATAGAAAATTCTAATGATACAAATGATAGTGATTTTACTCCAATAGAATATTCTAATGATACAAATAATAGTAAATTTACTCCAATACAATATCCTGATGATCCAAAAGATACTTCTTATACTGAAAAATTTAAGCATTTATGGGTTGAATGTGAAAGTTGCTTTGGATTAAATTATAAGAAATTTTTTAAATCCAAAATGAATATTTGCGAACACTGTGGAGATCATTTGAAAATGAGCAGTTCAGATAGAATCGAACTTTCGATTGATCCAGGTACTTGGAATCCTATGGATGAAGACATGTTTTCTCTGGATCCCATTGAATGGGACAAACCTTATACGAAAGACGAACCTTCTACGGAAGACGAATACGACTCTTCTACGGAAGACGAATACGAATCTTCTACGGAAGACAAACCTTCTAACGAACCTTCTACGGAAGACAAACCTTCTAACGAACCTTCTACGAAAGATAAACCTTCTAACGAACCTTCGACGGAAGACAAACCTTATACGGAAGACGAATCTTCTCCGGAAGACGAATATTCTCCGGATGACGAATCTTCTCCGGAAGACGAACCTTCTCCGGAAGACGAACCTTCTACGGAAGACGAATATGACTCTTCTACGGAAGACGAACCTTATATAGATCGTCTTGATTTTTATCAAGAAAGTACAAGACTACTGGAGGCGGTTCAAACAGGCACAGGTCAACTAAATGGTATTCCTGTAGCAATAGGTATTATGGATTTTCAGTTTCTAGGGGGTAGTATGGGATCCGTAGTGGGTGAGAAAATAACTCGGTTGATCGAATATGCTACCAATCAACTTTTACTTCTTATTATAGTATGTGCGTCCGGAGGAGCGCGTATGCAAGAAGGAAGTTTACATAAAAAGGCGAAATGGAAGTTTGGGCCCTCGAGGGATTCAGTGTTGCTCATATTTTACAAGAGATGCTTACTTATAAATCTGATCATATTAAAGCTCGTCAAGAAGTACTTGGAACTACATTCGGGCAATAGGTCTAAAAGGAAATAG